AGGGCAGATAAACTTTAGCTAGCCTACTCGATATACTGCTATATTTGCATGGTATCATGTTTGAAGGGTATAAAGTGTAACAACTTTGCTACAAGCCCAATAGCATGGTCAAAGCCCACAATATGTCATATCCAGAGAGAACAAGTCTACATTGACTCCCTCAACTTATGCCCCTGGTTGAATCGCATCCCTCAACCTCAGGGTTTACGATTCCGACGAAATCCGGTCGGATTTCGCGAAATTTCGACGTTCCAACGAGGCTCGAAAGTAGAAACCGTTTGAGATTCCGAGGAGTTTCATCTAAATTTAAATTTAAATTGATAAAAAAGAAAAAATAAAATAAAATCTTATAAATACTATGGTATTCATATAACTTATTGGGATATAAATTTATGAAAAAAAAGATGTATTATGTGTATTTACTAAAACTTACATAATGAAAAAAAAATTCAGAAAATTACCTCTATTACAAATTAATGATCGAAATTTCGATGATTTCGATCAGAATTTCGCCAAAACCGACCGATTTTCGAGAACTTGTCGGCAACTTAGGGAATTTATATTCAAATTTTGGTTTATAAAATTTGTTCGGAATTTACCGATTTTCCACCGGATTTCGCGAAATTCCGAATTCCGCCGATGCCCGGAACGGAAGGGCCTGTCGGAATCGTAAACCTTGCTCTACCGCAAAACCGATACAACCCATCCTCCAACTCATAAGACCGTTGCAAATCGACTCCTCGAACGGTTTGGGAGGTGGTTTCGTCCAATGTGGCATCTTTGACCCCGTTAACTAGCTGAGTTAGCACATGGACCCCATATGTCAGTGTCTTGTAGACAGTGGCAGTGCCTGGTGGTGGTGCGCGGCGGTGGCCATGCGTGACGGCAAACGAAGGTGCGACAGCGGAAATTGAGGGCACAAGCGAGAAGAGGGGAACACGACGATCCTTACTGATGCAATTACGACGGCAAGCGGCAACAAGCTTGAAAAGGCGGTGGCCTCGGGTTGATGTCGACGGCGGCGCTCCGGTGATGTCCAAGTGAAGCGAAGGTGCAGTTGAGATTCTCTTTCGTCTTACGAACCAAACAGTGATGACGACGGACGTGGTGGCACGGTTGGCTCGGCTGGAGCGGTGGCCTTCGGCGAAGAGTGCGCAAGGAGGCGGCTAGGGCATGGGACGAGCTCGGACTAGGGTTAGAATCGGAAGAGGGGACCTTAGGCAAGCTATATATAGGTGGAGGAGAAAGAGACCGGGCTAGAAACAGATGGATTCAGTGGCGAAAAACTAGGGTTCATCCTGAGTTCTTCGGGATTAGAACGGGGCCGAAATTCACGGGATTTAACACAATATTGATGGGGTTTTCTTGGGGGGAAAGGAGAGGAAATCGAGAGAAATCCGTTTATGCAACTAATTTGGAAGGAAAAGCTCGTTCAACTGGTTGAGGCGACAACGGCATGGAGCTATAGGTGTCGATCGAGGGCAGCGAGATCTACAGGTTGCCACCTTCATTTGCCCTCCTTGGAAGTTGGATCCCCAGCGTTAGACAAGCTCACAAGCCACTGCCACCCATCTCCCTCAACTTGCTGCCGCTCGATGGCTACTGTGCCCGTCTCTGGGTGCCAAAACAACGGAGTCCCCAACTCCCACCCTCTGTTGCCGGACCACCCTATTATCTCGCCGCTGCCATGCTGCCATTTTGCCGTCATGAGGAAATATGGGTGAGAGAGTGAGGAAATATGGGTAAGGAAATGAAGAGAAGAAAGAGAAGGGTGACTGACAAATGGTTCCATATGCTAAGTCAACCGAGGTAAACATGACACCTTTGTAAAAACTGCTTTGAAGCCACTGAGGGAGTCAAAATACATTGATTTTAATAGTTGAGGGGTTAAGATATCCGGTATTACAGTTTGGGGATACGAGTTAGATTATACATATATTTTGAGGGACTCAAAGTGGACTTATTCCTAACCAATATATGGTAGGAATAAGTTCACTTTGGGTCCCTCAAATTATTGTCGAGTCGTCCCTCAAATTATTGTCGAGTCTGAAATTCGTCCCTATACCAAAATACCAGATATAACGAGTCCCTCACAATTTACAAAACCGGATCATATGAGGTCCTAGGCAGTATTTACGTCTGGTTTTAGCTGACATGATAAGCTTAGTTAGCATGGGACCCACGCAGGCCCCAACACTCTCGTCCAATGGTTAACACTCTCGTCTTCCTTTTCCCTTCTCCCCATCTCCTCTCCTCTCTCTCCCCTCTTCGGCAACAATGGCTGACTCGGTTGAATAAAAGTTGGCTCCGCGCCGGTGGAGCCTCGCGGGGCGCTTGACGAGCCCGGTCACCTCCACGATCCTTGTCGACCAGTCCGCCTTGGGCACGGCGCCGTGGTTGCACACGTAGTGGACTGGCGTCGGCGTGATGAAACCGTCAAGCATGAGGCACGGCAGCAGCGGCTCGGAGTTAAAGGGGTGCTTGCCGGTGAGCCAGACGAGCACCGGGTGCCGACGCACCCACGCGTCACTGCGTCAGAGGTGGCCTCGTCGCATGGGTCATTGACGGGAGGCTCCACCTCGAGGCGCGAGTGGTACAACTACCTTCAGTCCGGTGGTATGTCGTCATCGTCGTCGGAGTCGGTCTTGGAGCCCAACCGACGGTTGTCGCCGGTGGATGGGAACAAGTCGATGTTGCTCGACGACTCATTGCTCGCCACCATGGAACAGCTTGACCGTGGAGTTCCCCGTCACGTTGGTTTGCGCGGGCAACCAACACAAGGAGCAGAACATGGTGCGCCAGACCGTCGGCTTCAACTGCCAGCGCCATCTCAACCTTCGTGTGGCGTGGCGCGCATCTGCGTGACGTGCTGCGGCGGAGCGGGGTCATGGGTGCCTCCCCACCTCGCCCGGCCGCCGCGCGCCACCCGCCTCTCCTGGCCGTCGCGCGCCCGCCCACCTCTCCCGGCCGTCGCGCGCCGCCCTGCCCGGCCGCTTCGCACCGCCCTCCTCTCCCGACTACCGCGCGCCGCCTAGCCTCGCCCGGCCTGGAGAGAGGACAAAGGAGAGGGGAGTTGGGGAGAGAGGAGGAAGAAGAGGAGGGGGTAAGAATGACATGTGGGGCCCATATGGGTCCCACCATTTTTGAATGAATTTTTTTGGTGTAACTGACATGTGGGACCACAAATAGCAATTTTCCAAATAAAAATTACCGCGTAAGCGCCACGTCACTAGCTACGTCATATGAAAACCGAGTCAAATTAGCCACGTAGGCACCACGTCAGTGAAAACCGCCATAGGACCTATATTGCACCGGTTTTGATAGTTGAGGGACCCTTTATATCTGGTTTTCTGGTTGAATGACCTATATTGCACCGGTTTTGATAGTTGAGGGACCCTTTATATCTGGTTTTCTGGTTGAATGGTTGAAGGACGGAAATCGGATTCACTGACAAGTTAAGAGACCTCCGATGAACTTATTCCTATAGAGTACTAGTAGTATAAGCCCACTAACATGGTCAAAGTGTCAAAGCCCACAATATGTCTGACTGGTTAGAACTAAGGTGACATGGAACAGATAGCCCAAATCTAAAGAATTCTACAATTTGTGAAGCTGGATTCAGTCCAACAACTCATTCCTCGGTTCCTCGCCTTGACAATTAACATAGGGAAGGGAAGGAATCAACTATCAGTAAGAGGGTTAGCAGAAGACTCCATAGCTCTAGCTCAAGTGACGGACATTGTTGAGATAACTGCATCTCCTCCTTGTGTGCCCTCAACAGACAACCGTTTTGCGAAAGGAAAGTGGATTCAGACCAACGAGGACCTGACTTTTATGTGGTAATAACAGTGGCTTCAGATCAACGAGGACCTGACCTGGTTAGCAAATATTTCGCTTCCCCTTGTGCAGTTCACGACTCACAGCGAAGATAAACTAAGTCTACCATCGTATCATGCTCACCGAAGTTCTGTAGACTGACGAGAAGGCCTTCGACTTTTAGCAGAACAAACAGTTGTGAGTATTATACAAGATTGTGTGTCTTGATTAAGAAACAATATACAATGTGCCTATGTTCTGAGTAAGACATGCAAAGCAAACTTGCAGTGATAAACACGTAACAAGGATAACTATTGGGTCTATGGGGGCAATGTAGTCTCCAGTGAGGAACGTAGCATCCGGTTTCTGATGGGAAACCATTATTACCTTTACTGTTTTAGGCACAGTAAACTGAAGTGGAAGCCACAAACAACCAAATTAAGGAAGAGTTATGCAAACACTAAATGGTACTCCCTCCATTTTTATTTAGATGACGTTGGTTAGTTTCAATTTGAACTAACCAACGCCAAATAAAAAAAAGAGAGGTAGTAGTAGTAGTAAGTTACAGGGAGACGAAACTCAATGTTATCCAATATCATAGGGTATAAAAACTCCAACTCAGAATCAAGCTGAAAGGCTATACTAGAAACATTATGCCGTGATGATAATAACTCAAAAAGATCAATCTCACATTTTATTTGTTGTCACAGGATATTCAAACCACCTAGAATGATTGGTCAGTTTGTAACACAATCTAGCTTAAAGGCTTAAAGCTACTAAATGGAAAGACTGTGGTACTGCAGTCAACCTATATGACAATCTATTCAGAAATAGTGATAGGTCCAGCACACTAGAGATTTTACAGTTTTAACCGAACTAAATTTAGGATATCCACTTATAGTTTACTCTGAACATGGAACATTGCTATGTAGTTCTAATAAAACTATTTTCTTATATACTTACAACGGTGCTATATAACACTTGCTGTCTTGAGAACAAGGATTATATTATGCTTTTCAGAAAAGAATTCTTGACTAACAAAACTAAAGCGATTTGCAGCAACTGAAATGTTTAATAAATTCTATCAGTTCAGACTTCAAACCATGCAACCAAAGAGGGTTTCTTATTGTCATTGACAATTTGACAGACAATAGTGAGTAAAAGCAATCGGAAAGGCAGTCACAGGTATCCATTCGAAACAATTATTCAATTAAGTGCTAGGGCATAACCACTTATTGTCATATTATATGATACATATATAAAGTACAAGGAACAGCTCTATCCACTTATGTGTATAGTTAGAAGAGCCTCAAAACCTAGTACTACAAATTAAAGATTACTGTGACACACCAAGTTCATCAACTGCAGTTGAATAAGATGCAGAAAAAGGAGTTCATGGTGACAATAAGCAAGATAACGGCCATGGGGGGTTAACTAAAGCTCAGATCTTACCATTCAGCTTGTTCTGGAGAACATCCATCACAGAAGCAAAGTCAGCCTTCACATTGATTGGTGGATTAGCGTACTGGCACAGCATGTCCTTGATGTTCCTGTCATGGTAGTCTATCTTCGATTGTGTGAACTTAAGCCCATGCGCTGTACTAACAACCACTGTGCGGTCATTAGGCCCGATTATGCGCTGGTCTCGAAGCTTGAACAAAGCAGCAAGTGCAACCCCGGTGTGTGGGCAGGCAAACATTCCGGTGCGGTCAGCAAGTGACATTGCATCCATGAGTTCTTCCTCCGTAGCTTCCTCAACAATACCGTCAGTTGCCTTCAGGGCGACCACTGCACGGTCGACAGATACTGGATCACCAATCTGTATGGCAGATGCAAATGTAGTTTCGGCTACACGTGGCTGGAAATCAGTCCACCCTGACTTGTAGAACCGATACAACGGATTTGCGTTTGCAGCTTGTGCGCATACAAGACGCGGCACACGATCAACAAGCCCAAGAACACGGCACATCTCAAACCCCTTGTAGAAGGCATAGATATTCCCAAGATTGCCTCCTGGAACAATGACCCAATCCGGCACCTGCCAATCGAACTGCTGCAATATCTCGATGGCTGCCGTCTTCTGGCCCTCAAGCCGAAGGGAGTTCAGCGAGTTGGCAAGGTAAATCGGTAGCTCGGCGGTCACCTCCCTGATGAGCCGCATGCACCCGTCAAAGTCCGTGTCCAGCGAGAGCACGGTGGCGCCGTTGGCGATTGGCTGGATGAGCTGCTGCAGAGAGATGCGGTCGGCGGGGAGGAACACGATGGCGGGGATACCTGCGGCGGCGCAGTACGCGGAAAGCGCGGCGGAGGTGTCGCCCGTGGACGCGCAGCCGACGCCGTTGATGGGGCGTGAGAGCGGCGCGCGGCGGAGGCGGTTCACCTGGCTGACGAGCACCGTCATGCCGAGGTCCTTGAAGGAGCCCGTGTGCGAGATGCCGCAGTGCTTAACCCAGAGGTCGGTCATCCCGCCGAGGTGCTCGCGGCCGAGGCGCTCCGCCCAGAAGAGGTTGGAGTTGCCCTCGAAGAGGGAGACGATGTGGTCGGAGTCGATCTCCGGGAGCACGAACTCCTTCTTGGACCACACCCCGGAGCCGTAGGGCCACGCGGTGCGCCCCACGCGGGAGTCGAAGAGGTCGCGCCAGTAGGAGCCCGGGAAGCGCGCGAGCGCCTCCATGTCGTGGCACACGTCGAGGAGCCCCCCGGAGCTGGAGCGGTAGACCACCTCGTCCAGCGAGTAGCGCTCGTCGGGGTCGTCCTCGGGCGTCGGGGGGAACGGCACGTACCACGCCGAGAAGTCGTTCCCGGGGCCGCGGAGCCGCGCGGCCTCCTCCCGGATGTTCTCCTCCGCGGGGCGGCGGTGCCTCGTGGCCGTCGTGGCGGCGTCGGAGGCGCATCGCGCGCGGTGGGGCGCGGCGCGCAGCGGGCGGCGGAGGTGAGGCCCGCCGGCGAAGGGCCTGGGGTTGGACGAGTGTGGGTGGGCGAAGAGGAGAGAGAGGGACGACGCGGTGGCGGTCGCCATGGCGGAGGAGGCGAGGTGCTTGGCGGCGGAGGAGGAGGGGATGGGGGGAGTAATTAGGGAGGAGGATGGGTGACGTGGATGGGGAGGTTTTAGGCTTTAGGGGAGGGATGATTCGATTGATCTGGACGTTAATTGGGCGCGCAGCCGTTAGGAGGCCGACAGGTGGGGCAGATTCTTTGTGATGGTATATTTGCGTTTAGTTTTTTTACTCTCTCCGTGAGCTTAAATCCAAATACAGTAACAGTAGTCAAGCTAGTTTTGGCTTGCTACTAATGTAGATACCATGTCATCTATAAATAATGCTAATACCATGGACAACAATCGCAATTTTGCAACATTCATATTCTATATACTCCCCCATCCCAAGATAAATGTAATTTTAAATTTAACTTTTATCCTAAAATAAATACAATCCCACATATTACTTGCTCACATTAATTAATCGCATTACATCTCAAAATTTTCTCCATCATACCTTCAATTACCCTCTCAGTCCCTACCAGCTCTTATTTAATAGGGATACTTAGGTAATCTCTCTATTATTTTCCTCACACACTTTTTAAAAATATACTTACAGTGGAACAGAGAGAGTAAGCAACTTCATGCAAAATTGGTCGTGAAGCATCGGAAGATCATTATTTCAATCTTATAGCACTAAGAAAAAAAAAATCCCGATTCACTTTTTATGAAATGATCCGGTTCCCTTTAATGGATATTGCAAGGCTCAATTATCGGTTTTCTTCCATTTAGATCGATAAACGTGTACTCATTCTAAAATTGCTTATATTTATGGATGTAGGTAGCAGCTTACTGTTCGCATTCCATTCATATTGCATTGAAATTTTAGCACCTTAGGTGCTGGGGTCGACTCCCCATGGGAGCAAATTTTTCAGGATTTAACGGTATTGTGCTTTCAGTAGTAGGCGACGTGCCCGTCGACAGTGAGACGCCTAAAGTGACTTCACCAATCTCTAGGATTTGATTTGCTGGTCCAGTCTTTGAAGATGCTTATAGGGGTAGGGTTTGCGTACAAGGGGCGGATATACAGTAGAAGAAGGACCGGTGTCAGGCGACACCGACGACTTTTGGCAAAACTATAGCAAAATTGTTTACCCATATGTTATAACACCATAATCTAAGCATGATTAGCATACTATAGCACCGATAGACACATTATGACACCAACGAATCGATTTCCTGAATCCGCCACTGTTGCTTACGCGTTTTTATAGGGGTGAGTATGCGTGCATTGTGAGTGTCTGTTGTACTGTGTATTTCTTTTAAAAAAAGTGAATATCCACTGAGCTGTACGCTATCCTCCATTTTTGGGACAAGAGCGAACTACCATCGCATATTTGGAACGTGGAAAATCGAGATCGAGAGGACAACGTCATGCAAAATGATTTTGGATGGATAGTAACTACGGGCTGGAGGAATCGTCGGGGACCCCACCAGAGCCGCTGCAGCACTGCTCCCACACAAGATCACCATATCTCTGAAAATGGACGCGATTCTACATTTCTACGCAACAAATAGTGGCGAAAGCGAACGGCGGTTCAGCAGCATATTCCAGCGGTCCAGCCGGCTCCTGCCGTGCTGCAAAACAATATCTTGTGCCGCCGTTGCTACGGGTTTATGAGCTCATGGCGTGCAGCGGCCTTGCAAGAACAAGAGGAGAATGCACCCGGTATGGCTCAATTCAGTGTGTGCAAGTAACAACGTATTCAAATGAGTGATTACTTAATCAACACTTGTATATACATATAGAAAGTGAGACAAGGTACTGTGGAACACTGAAATCCTGTTTAACAGTATGCTGACGATTTCCAAAGTATAGATTACCAAGACAAAAAGGCTTCTCTCTCTCTCTCCCCCTACCAGGTCACCAAATTACAGTGCTACAATTGTTTTTTGAAATCAATACAAGGCTACAAATGTAAGGAACAGAAGTACGCATGTAGTGTGACGTCTCTAACTTCCCTGTATTTAAGCTGCTGGTGAAAATCACCGTACCAAGTTGCTGCAGCTCAAATAATCTCTTCCGTCCTCGGGAGCTCAGGATTTCCTGAGAGTAAAATGACCACCATGTGTGCAAGTGTCTACTGGATAGGAAACATTCAGATCTGACATAAGAATCTTTATGTTATAAGAATAAATTGAACACTTTATCATCTATTCAACATTTCAGAGGACTGTGCGGTGTTCACATAAGTTGCGCTCTTGTTGAATCCCTCAAGTGCCATTATTCTAACTGCCTCCAAGCCCCTATGGAAAGCGAAATCAAGCTGCAAAAAGAGATGTGTACATCTTAAACAAACAGTGCTATGCCCAGAACAGAAAATGAGGTAAATATGAAAAAAAAAAGGGTTTCTTGAAAGCATTCTAATTAAAACCTCTTCCTGTTCTTTTCTGTTAAATGGTCGGAGAACAAAATTGGCAGGATCCATCTTCCCAGGTGGTCGTCCAATGCCTGCAAGATATCACCGCAAGAATATTTTCAGACATGGTAACTGAGTTGAAAAAGGAGAGAAGCGCTATACCAATTCTTAGACGTGGGAAATCACGGTTCTGCTTCAAATGGTTGATAATGCTTCTCACCCTGCAAGTGGTGAACATATGGATGAGAGGTTCCCCAAGAGAAGATGTGGGAGAAACAAATGTACAATTGAACATCCTAAAGTTTGTCTGATGCATTTTCTCACAACTATGCACCTTAGATCAGTTCTTAAGTAACAATGGATAATGCATTGCATTAGGACAAGTAGAAAGATGGTGCCAACGGTATATGATGAGAAATTAAGAATATCCTTTTGCTTAGGTGAACTTCAGAGTTATCTACCTCCAAAAGTTAGGTCTTCAGCATAAAGTTAGTAAAATAATCACTGAGTTAACACATGCAGGTAATGAGTTTCGACCATTTTGTAAAAGAAGTAGAAGAGAGCTGAGAAATTAAGAATATCCTTTTGCTTAGGTGAACTTCAGAGTTATCTACCTCCAAAAGTTAGGTCTTCAGCATAAAGTTAGTAAAATAATCACTGAGTTAACACATGCAGGTAATGAGTTTCGACCATTTTGTAAAAGAAGTAGAAGAGAGCTGGAGTACCCATTATGACCGCCATGTCCACCTTTCGGCAGTAGACGCAATTTTGCAAAGGGCAAGTCTAGATCATCATACATCTGCAGAGAATAAAAAATGAATGAAGAATCAAAATATAGCAATCTGTTAAAAAAAACAGCAACCAGAAACTCGAGGATAGCACTTTACCACAAGAACTTGATTAAGTGGTATCTTGAAATATGAGACCAACTGCCCCACCTGTATAACTCGATTTGTCAAACGAAAAAGGTAAAAAAAAGAAGGAACAACTAGTAGTGAAGGTTGTTTTGGAATCAGTATACTTACAGACTCACCACTTGCATTCATAAAAGTTTGTGGCTTGGCCAGCATGATAGGGGCATCTCCAATACGACCTAAATATTATTTTCTGTTATGAATGTTTGATAGCACTACCTTCAGAATTTCAAATAAGTATATGCACCTGCTCATGTTTAATATTCAAGCATAGAGTATCTTAAACAAATAGCATTTGTTTATAGGTAATATTTATGAAAACCGCATAAATATTGTTAGAGTTGAAAAGGTAATGTGCAAGACTTGAGGAACAAAGTACAGCTCTGGGAATCCAGATAGCATGGCTTCTTTCAACACAAGATGTATCAGTTGAAAAGAATTATATTAATTGTCAATATTACCTTTTCCTACCATTGCCTTGAACTGCATACTGCTGAGGGATATACCTTCAGCTTCTGCTATAACATCAATCATCTCGAATCCAACCTGTGAACAATATGAGCGACCTCAAGGTTAGCAACTAAATTAGATACATAATGCATTGGTGCACTCATATTGGGACTGTGTCATGCGTGACCATTTATTGAACAAAGGACTGAAGTTATGTGCAATATATATATTCCACGAAACTGATACTGAAGACATAGAAACTGAGAATCAGACGAAAAAACATTGTATGAATTAGATGCCTCAAAAAGCAACGCATAATGAATTTTGCTGCCCTCAAAGTGAGATCTCCTTTGTAATATATACTGTCAACAAAAACTTGACAACTACACATTGAAATGTTCTTTTCAAATACTTCATCTAACATGTGGCCATTTCCATACTTGCAGAATGGGTTTGAGCTCTTCAACAGTCAGAAAGGTTGCAGTTTTGTTTATTTCGTCTTTGAACAACTACCAGTTCGAGTATTCGACCCTAATAACTACAGGGAGTCTAGTACAAGCAGCTCAAAATCAGGCAACTTACGTTGTGGCGAGTCCCTTGGTACACTTTCCCGGGGTTCCCGAGCCCGACGAACAACCACGGCTTCAGCGCGCCGCCGTCGCCCGCGGCCGCCGCGGCTGACGAGGAGGCCGCTCGGCACGCGGTGGCAGAGGCGGGGACCGGCAAGCATCTTGCCCTCGCGCGGGCGAGTGAGAGGAGGGGGCAGGGGATTCGGGAAGCAGAGGCGCCGGAGAGCAGCCGCATCGCCGTAGTCGCCGCCGTCGCCGCCGCCCGTGAGGAGGAGGAACCACGAATTGGCGGCCGGCTCGGAACCAGGAGCGCTTTTCCATCGTCTACTCTGATCGGACGGCTATGAGTAACCCAGGATCGGAATCCGACGGTTGCCTCCGAGCCCTCGATCTCGGCCGCGAGGCTTCAGAATCCGACGGTGGAAATGCCCCGTGCGGCACGGGCTCGAGTCCCTTCTCTGTTCTCTCTCTCTCGCTACGCGGTGGGCGCAAGGGCGCAAAGCGACGGTCACTGGCGTAGCGTTCGGCCGAAGCGAGCCCGTAGGCCGGAGGAGCCAGCCGCCATCGTCGGCGACTAGGCCGCTATCGTTACAGCTAGGCTAATAGTACAGCTACTTGTTACCTCCAAAAATAACCACATCATTCTATTCTAGCGAATGACACAAGCTAATCAATACAATAATAGAGTGCGGGTTTATTTGGGGAGGTTAAAATCATGAGAAGCAGCTGATTGTTAACCAGCTTATAAGAATCTGAAAATAGCTAAGAGTCTGACTGTTAGTTTATTTTCTGGATTCTATAACTATAGCTTCTTAAAATCTAGACCAAAATCTAGACTGTTTGGGGAAACTTCTAGTTCTGGGAGAAGCTGTAGCAACTAGAAACTCTCCCCAAACAGAACCTATATATACATCTCTACGCACTTCCCATGGCTAGGTTTGATTTTTTTTTTTAAAATCTTCACTTGAATGTTGCAATTGGCTGAGAGCAGCAGCAATATTGGGAGCAGTGTACAACCGGGCTGTAAATTAGTCACCGAGCTTCTCTCTCTTTTCCATTCACCCTCCAGCTTACTCCTCAAACCTACGTGGAGTCAGTATCGCCGGCGCTATGAGTGTTATTTTAACTGCTCTTAGAAGGTCAATTCTTGCGTCCTGCATAACCCGTGTCGGAGGCCACAGCCGAAAACTGCAGGTGTTGTGGCGGTGAACCTTCACTTTTCCATGTCAAAGAGATTGCCATAACTTACGTTAAAAAAAAGATTGCCATAACTTTTTTTTTGCGCTAAGCTTGTAGTTGTAACCGCTAGTTACTAATGCTCTCTAAACATCCTAGCTTGCTATATTTTAGGATAGAACCGGTACTTACTACAATAGCCACTCTCTTTGAGCTACATGATTACACGGAAAAAAGAAACAATTCTCACATGAATAGCAAATATTTACCTTGTTTCAACTCCTTAGATTAAACATATATTTCCACCCTATCTTCATGCCATCAGAAATGAATGGCCACATCGTTACGGTATATTTACAAACGAAAAATAATTTATAAATATATTTTTTATATACGTGTTCTTAGCGATTTAAAAGTAAAAGCTGAAAAAATAAACTTCGATGTAAAACCCCAAAATCAACTCTAAATATAAAGTTAAAAATTTAAATTTTGGCTGATACTTATAAACATAAGAAAAGGACGAGGGACAAACTCTTCCATGCTAGTAGTAACTGTTCGTGCTGTTGTCAAACAGTAGTCTCGCGCTACTGTTTGTATTCTTTTCGAAAAAAAAATGAACTAGCTATACTGCTTTTTTATATGTGCTAATGGAATCCTAGCTACTCCGTATTTGAATTGACAAAATTAAAGCAGCATGTCATGCATTCTGCAGTTCTCTGCAGAGAGAAATTGGATCTGCGCACAGCAGGGTCGGTTTAGTTGTCACATCGAATGTTTAACCGTATGTGGGAAGGGTTTTTGAAACACGAACGAAAAAACTAATTTTATAACTCACATGTAAAACTGCGAGACGAATCTTTTGAGCCTAATTAGTCTGTCATTAGCACATGCAGGTTACTGTAGCACTTATGGCTAATCATGGACTAATTAGGCTCAAAAGATTCATCTCGCGATTTCCCCCCTAACTGTGCAATTGGTTTTTCTTTTAATCTATATTTAATACTTTATGCATGTGTCTATAAATAAAAGTTGGATGTGATGTTTTTGGAAAAATAATTTGGGAACTAAACCCTATTGCCAAGGTGGATGTTTTCCGCGAGACCTGCAAGTCTTCCCCGCCATAACGTGTACGTTTGCACATTCTCAAGCAGCACCAGAAGATGAATCAGTTTAGCGAAAACTCCATGAGACGGACAAAAAATGTGACAGTCATGCGTTATTATTACTCCCATCCCTCTCTAAACGATGTACAAACTAGACAGGGGATGTCCTGTCGATTAGGCAAGACCGCAAGACTCTTTCCCTAATTCCCAGCCCGTCAACTGGTTCTTTATGAGTCACACACGTATTCAGGGTTTCACACTGACGATGCCATGAAGTGCAGCAGAGATATACCAGTCCAGTGTGATCAGCGGTCGTGTTTCTTCCAGTCCAGTCGCTTTCCAGCAAGAACGTGTCCAGTGGGGGGCGCTAACTATCAGTCTACCACCAGTCAGCCCCCGAAGGAAAAATAGACAAGGCAGCAACAGTTTTAGTTCATACTAGTCTAATCTTTGGAAATTGGAAGCATTAACAAGTCCGTAGCCTTCTTTTTGTCCACAACTAGAGAAAAAATAACATGAGACGTTTCTCCAATAAAAGTTAGATAGAAATTTAGATATTTGTGGCATATTTTTCAAACTGCTAAATAATACGTTTCATGTAAAATTTTTCTATATGAAAAATTACTCTAAAATATCAGATAAATATATTTTCTCAAGTTTGTAATAAAAAAACTTAATTAGTCATACGTTGATATCATCTCATTTTATATAAAATACTTAATTTTTATCTTCATCTTCATCTATATGAGTTTCATTCGAACATGACGTACTACGCTGTGTATTCAAGGTAGCACTAGCAAATTAAGCTGTACACTCACAGGAACAAATGCCAATTTCGTTTCCGTACTACGTTCCCCCTTCACTGTTTTCTTTGGTGAGATGAAAAAAATGTCATGCTAATTAATTAAGCTGTGTCCCCGCAAAAAGAAATTAATTAAGCTGTGCACTCTCGATCGATCGGTTCGGCAAAAGATTTATTATTTCCTCTTTCGCCTATTCTTTCATCACGGTCACAAACGTGAACATGCACGTACAGGGAAGCAGCTTGTGAACGAGCTCGCTCGCATCAACTTTTAGGCCGCCTTTGATTTAAAGAAAAAACATAGAAATTTTGAAGGATTTTAATCCTACAGAAAAATTTTCTATAACACCCTTTGAAACAAATGATCAAATCCTATCATATCCTTTGGAATTTCTATGGAATGGATAATTCTAAAGAGATTTTCTTGAGGAAATTTAACAAGAGCTCCAACCTCTTGAAAGCTTTCCTTTTAGTCTATCTCTTTCATCCGATTTTCTTCCCTTTTGCCGCGGTTCATTCAAACGATCATTCCTGTGTTTTGCAATCCTCTATTTTACACTTGCATTCCTATTAGGGCCCCTTTGATTCGCAGGATATGAAAAACACAGGAATAGGAAAAACACAATATTTGAAATGGTAGGATTTTCAAATCCTACGGGAAGAGAAAACAGAGAAAAACGTAAGAAGATCCTTTGATATAGGCATAGGGAAAACAAAGGAATTCGCACCAGGAAGAATTCCAAGAGGTCTTACCTCTTTTTTAGTTTCCTTTGGAATCCACTCATAGGAATGCAATCCTATGGAATTTATACTTGCCTTTTCTATAAATCAAAGAGGCTTGAAGGAAAAAAATCCTTTGAAATCCCATTCCTAAAAAAAATCATTTGGCATTACTTTAAATTAAAGAGGCTCTAGAATCCTACGTTTTTCTTATTCCTTCGTTTTTTCATTCCTAAGATTCAAAGGGATCCTTAGTTTGTATTCCTTCTCCAGTTTTCCCAATTCAGCTTTCTCGTTTTTCGTGCGCACGCTTTTTAAACTATTAAACAGTATGTTTTATATTAATTATTTTTTTAAAAAAGCTAATACTTAATTAATCATATGATAATACGATGCATCATTTTGCGTGCAGCCTTAGTTTCCATGGGGGGCAAAGTCTCTGGTCGGTCTTCCCGATGTACGTGGTCTGGCTTCTCCAGTCTCCACTATCGCAACTCCCAGGATATAAGCTTGGCCACCACGCCATGCACAGCTACCAGCCTCAGCCAGCTGCCACCTCCGATTCCATCGAGCTCTCCTCCTGCCAATGGCGCTCGTCTTCTTCTTCTTCGTCGTCTTCCACCTCGCCGTGCTGATGGCTGCGCTCCTGCTCGCAAGCGCGCCGGCGTTCGCCACGGCCGACGATCTGTCGGCGCTGCTGGCGTTCAGGGCGCGGGTGTCCGACCCGAGCGGCGTGCTCCGCCGCGGCAACTGGACGGCGGCCGCGCCCTACTGCGGCTGGCTCGGCGTCACCTGCGGCGGCCACCGCCACCCGCTGCGCGTCACGGCGCTGGAGCTGCCCGGCGTGCAGCTCGCCGGCTCGCTGGCCCCCGAGCTCGGCGAGCTCACCTTCCTCTCCACCCTCAACCTCAGCGACGCCCGGCTCTCGGGCCCGATCCCTGATGGCATCGGCAACCTGCCACGCCTCCTGTCTCTCGATCTCTCCAGCAACCGCCTCTCAGGTAATCTCCCCTCGTCTCTCGGCAACCTCACCGTGCTTGAAATCCTCGACCTTGACTCGAACAACCTCACCGGTGAAATCCCTCCCGACCTGCACAATCTGAAGAACATTATGTACCTTGGATTAAGCAGAAACGAGTTGAGCGGGCAGATACCACGTGGCATGTTCAATGGCACGTCACAGCTTGTTTTCTTGAGCCTTGCTTACAACAAACTAACAGGGAGCATTCCTGGTGCTATTGGTTTCTTGCCAAACATTCAGGTGCTTGTACTGTCAGGGAACCAGCTTTCAGGGCCAATACCTGCATCGCTGTTTAACATGTCCAGCTTGGTACGGATGTACCTGGGCAAGAACAATCTCTCTGGCTCTATCCCAAACAACGGAAGCTTCAACCTTCCCATGCTGCAAACAGTTAATCTCAACACAAACCATTTAACTGGCATAGTGCCTCAAGGCTTTGGGGCATGCAAGAACCTGCAAGAGTTCATTCTATTCAGCAATGGCTTCACCGGTGGCATACCACCGTGGCTGGCTTCTATGCCTCAGTTGGTGAATGTCTCCTTGGGTGGCAATGACCTTTCTGGTGAAATCCCTGCCAGCTTGGGCAACCTTACAGGTCTCACCCATCTGGATTTCACCAGGAGTAATCTGCATGGGAAGATACCACCGGAGCTGGGACAGCTGACACAGCTGCGGTGGCTGAACCTTGAGATGAATAACCTGACCGGTAGCATCCCAGCCTCTATCAGAAACATGTCTATGATCTCTATCCTTGACATATCCTTTAACTCATTGACTGGATCTGTGCCAAGGCCAATATTTGGTCCAGCCCTTAGTGAACTCTACATTGACGAGAATAAGCTCAGTGGGGATGTCGATTTCATGGCTGACCTGTCAGGTTGCAAGAGCCTTAAGTATCTTGTGATGAACACAAACTACTTCACTGGTAGCATCCCAAGTTCTATTGGCAACCTTTCCTCCCTCCAGATCTTTCGAGCATTCAAGAACCAAATTACTGGAAATATCCCTGATATGACAAATAAGAGCAACATGTTGTTCATGGATCTTCGCAACAACCGATTTACCGGGGAAATTCCGGTATCAATTACAGAGATGAAGGATCTCGAAATGATTGATTTTTCTTCTAATGAGTTGGTTGGGACCATTCCTGCAAATATTGGCAAATCAAATCTGTTTGCCCTAGGCCTTGCCTACAACAAGCTCCATGGCCCCATACCTGATAGCATTAGTAATCTAAGTCGGCTACAAACCTTAGAACTATCAAATAATCAGCTCACTTCAGCAGTACCGATGGGCCTATGGGGCCTTCAAAATATCGTGGGTCTTGATCTGGCTGGAAATGCTTTGACTGGCTCTTTGCCAGAAGTTGAAAATCTGAAAGCAACAACATTTATGAACCTTTCTTCCAATCGATTTTCTGGTAATTTACCAGCCTCACTTGAACTATTTAGCACACTGACCTACTTAGACCTTTCATATAACTCCTTCTCTGGAACAATTCCAAAGTCCTTTGCAAATCTTAGTCCTCTCACTACCCTGAATCTCTCTTTCAATAGATTGGATGGGCAAATCCCAAATGGTGGTGTGTTCTCAAACATTACCCTCCAATCTTTGAGAGGGAACACAGCACTCTGTGGTCTTCCACGCCTTGGTTTCCCCCATTGCAAAAATGACCATCCTCTTCAGGGTAAAAAATCAAGGCTTCTAAAAGTAGTTCTTATTCCAAGCATATTGGCTACTGGAATAATAGCAATCTGCTTGCTGTTTTCGATTAAATTTTGCACTGGCAAGAAACTGAAGGGCCTGCCGATTACTATGAGTTTGGAGTCAAACAACAACCATAGGGCTATCTCCTACTATGAGCTGGTTCGTGCCACAAACAACTTCAATAGTGATCACCTACTAGGAGCTGGAAGCTTTGGCAAAGTCTTCAAGGGCAATCTAGACGATGAGCAGATCGTCGCGATAAAAGTCCTCAACATGGACATGGAAAGAGCTACCATGAGTTTTGAAGTCGAGTGCCGTGCACTTCGCATGGCTCGGCACCGAAACTTGGTGAGGATACTCACCACCTGTTCGAATCTGGACTTCAAGGCGTTGGTGCTGCAGTACATGCCCAATGGGAGCCTGGACGAATGGTTGCTGTACAGTGACAGGCATTGCCTTGGATTGATGCAGAGGGTGAGCATCATGTTGGATGCGGCGCTCGCTATGGCTTACCTACACCATGAGCACTTTGAGGTAGTCCTCCACTGTGATCTGAAGCCAAGCAACGTGCTGCTTGACGCAGACATGACGGCTTGCATCGCAGACTTTGGAATTGCAAGGTTATTGCTAGGAGAGGACACCTCCATATTCTCCAGGAGCATGCCAGGAACAATCGGATACATGGCACCAGGTAATCACTTGTCGATTTACCGTTCATCTTTGGTTCCACTGAAATCGCCAATTTCTGCAGATCCCCCTTGATCTTTGTTTACCATGAACATCACAGAGTACGGGTCGACAGGAAAAGCATCGCGAAAGAGCGACGTGTTCAGCTACGGGGTCATGCTCCTGGAGGTCTTCACGGGGAAGAAGCCAACCGACGCCATGTTCGTCGGAGAGCTGAGCTTGAGGGAGTGGGTCAACCGAGCGCTCCCGTCAAGGCTCGCCGACGTCGTACATCCTGGCATCTCTCTGTATGACGACACGGTGAGCAGCGATGATGCCCAAGGTGAATCAACCGGCAGCAGGAGCTGCTTAGCGCAGCTGCTGGATTTGGGGCTGCAGTGTACCAGAGACTTGCCTGAGGACAGGGTGACGATGAAGGATGTGACTGTGAAACTGCAGCGGATCAAGGAGGTATTACAAGCCTAGATAGTCTTGTCCTGCAGCCCTGCAGATGATAACCCAAAGCTGGCAAGGCCATGTGTCATCTGTGGTGGTTGCAAATGCTGAACTGCATCATGAAAGCTGTAGCCTTCCTTGAAAAGATACCTGTAACAGTAGTTGAGTTGCAGGTTTGCAGCCATCTAACAAAAAGTAATATACTACGTGTTAGAGAGTTGTTTAGGGCTTAATCCTCCAATAACCTGCCAAAGAACGCAATGAATATTTCTACTAGTTTTCAAAGGACCACTGAAAAATTTCAGTTAACCCAACAATATATGAGAGGTCCACGATTCCATCATGATGCCCACAGCCCACCCTCCATCGTACAGAAAATAAGCAAACAATGCAAGCAAGCAATTAAATACTTAATGGAAGGGAAGTTGTGCACGTACAGCTTCTCTTGTATTCAATGTACTACTATCAATTATCAGTGATCATGACGCTGTTTGATGGCTCCATGGATATGGATAGTCTAGCATGGGGAAGAGCGACTATCATCAACTTGCTTCGCTGAACCTGACCGCCTTCAATAATAGACATGTGAAATGGCGGTTGGTGTGAAATGGTGCGTTGGTGAGCACGATTCAGAGCATAGTCTACTCAGGATTGACCAAACACATGGAAAGTGTTGCTTCTCTTAGACTCTTAGTCAACTGCTGAATAAGGGTTAAGGGTGTGTTTAGTTGGGGAAAAGGGAATTTTTGGATGTCACATCGGACGTTTGACCGGATGTCGGAAGGGGATTTCGGAACCGCAAGACGAATCTTTTAAGACTAATTAAGCCGTCATTAGCACATGTGGGTTACTGTAGCACTTATGGCTAATCACGGACTAATTAGGCTTAAAAGATTCGTCTCGCGATTTCCCCCATAATTGTGCAATTAGTTTTTCTTTTAATCTATATTTAATGTTTTATGCATATGTCCAAAGATTCGATGTGATGTTTTTGGAAAAAAAATTTTGGGTAACTAGACGGGCCCTAATAAGAAATGGATCTCTAGGATAGAAGCGCTTCAGTATTTTTACAGTTCTTTGATACCTGAAACAACAGCCAGGAACAAACTTTTAAAAAGATTGTCCTGAAAAAAATCACACCAGATGTTTCATTCGTGAAAAGAAAAGGCATAAGTAATGGTGCCAAGCATACCAAGATAGTATCAAAGATGGAAATGGCATATGAATATACTTGGAGTTTGCTTTCAAAAAAATATACTTGGAGTTAGATTATCTCCCAGTTTTTATTTAAAAAAAAATCTAGCTAGCGTAGAACGACTATTTAAGTGATTTTCTGAAAAAAAAATTAAACCAGATGTTTTATTCTTGGAAAATCAAACAAACATAAGTACTGGCGCCAAGCATGAAGCATCAAAGTTGGCTGTGTACACCCATGTTGGTGTAGAGACCGGGTTTTAATCTATTATTAAAAACAGAACAGAAAAAAAACGAAGCTATCAATGACGGAAATGACATACTCCTACAGCTTTGCTCCTTGACTTCTGGAAGAGGTTGTTTCTTGGAAGGAATTCATTTTTTTCCTTCTTTCTATTTTGAAACTTTGAAGTGTACCAAGAAACTGCAGTGTACAACCAGCTCTGAAAAATGAAAGTTTGTTTTCAAACGAAAAAGTCTAAAACGCTTTCTTCCTTTCACACATATTTCCACTAAAAAAAACAACTTTTTGACCATTCAACACAATGCACATGTCAATTGCACATCCCACACGGCCACACTTCCAATAAAACCACCAATAGAACCAGCACACTGCTCATGCGTAATTGTGTATCCTCATCATCAACCTTCATTCCTTCACTACCATGGCTCTTCTCTGCATCAGCATGGTGCTCCTCATCCTATTGGCACCATGCGCCACTTCACTCACCCCTCCATACAACAACACAGACCTCGCTGCACTGCTCGACTTCAAGGAGCAAGTCAAGGACCCTAATGGCATCCTTGCCAGCAATTGGACTGCCAGTGCACCCTTCTGCTCATGGATTGGGGTCTCATGCGACAGCAGCGGGAAGTGGGTCACTGGGCTTGAGTTTGAAGACATGGCACTTGAAGGAACCATCAGCCCGCAGATTGGCAATCTCTCCTTCCTCTCCAGCCTTGTACTCAGCAACACCACCCTCATCGGACCTGTGCCAACCGAGCTCGATAGGCTGCCCCGACTGCAAACTCTTGTTCTTTCATACAACAGCCTGTCAGGTACCATCCCCTCCATCCTTGGCAACCTCACAAGGCTCGAGTCTCTTTATCTTAATAGCAACAAATTCTTTGGGGGGATTCCACAAGAGTTGGCAAATCTTAACAATCTTCAGATATTAAGATTGTCAGATAACGACTTGAGCGGACCAATACCACAAGGCCTGTTCAATAACACACCCAACCTGAGTAGGATACAACTCGGGTCAAATAGGCTAACAGGAGCAATTCCTGGTAGCGTTGGATCATTGTCGAAGCTGGAGATGCTAGTCCTAGAAAATAATCTTCTCTCAGGCTCCATGCCTGCTGCTATCTTCAATATGTCCTACCTGCAAGCCATAGCAGTCACACGGAACAATCTCAGAGGTCCGATTCCTGGAAACGAGAGCTTTCACCTCCCTATGTTGGAATTTTTCTCTCTCGGTGAAAATTGGTTCGATGGACCTATCCCATCGGGCCCTTCCAAATGTCAAAACCTTGATTTGTTCTCCCTAGCTGTAAATAATTTCACAGGTTCTGTGCCATCATGGCTGGCGACAATGCCAAACCTCACTGCAATTTACTTGTCAACCAACGAGCTCACTGGAAAGATCCCAGTTGAACTGAGCAATCATACTGGGCTGCTTGCTTTGGACCTTAGCGAGAACAATCTAGAGGGAGAAATACCACCAGAGTTTGGACAGCTGAGAAACCTCAGGTATATAAGCTTTGCAAACAACCAAATAACAGGTACCATTCCCGAATCTATAGGCAATCTCTGACCTCACCACAATAGATTTGTTCGTAAACGGATTAACTGGATCGGTGCCAATGTCATTTGGGAACTTGTGGAATCTTCGTGACATCTATGTTGATGGGAACCAGCTCAGTGGGAACCTTGAATTCCTAGCTGCATTATCAAATTGCAGTAATCTGAACACAATTGGCATGTCATACAATAGATTTGAAGGGAGTTTACTACCCTGTGTTGGAAACCTTAGCACACTGATCGAAATTTTTGTAGCAGACAACAATAGGATCACTGGAAGCATCCCCAGTACATTGGCTAAGCTTACCAACCTACTGATGCTATCTCTCAGAGGAAACCAGCTAAGCGGGATGATCCCCACGCAGATCACATCAATGAACAACCTCCAAGAACTCAATCTCTCCAACAACACCTTGTCTGGCACCATCCCAGTAGAAATCACTGGATTAACAAGTCTAGTTAAGCTGAATCTTGCTAACAATCAACTTGTCAGTCCTATTCCAAGTACCATCGGTAGCCTAAACCAGTTACAAGTTGTGGTATTGTCCCAAAACTCGTTGTCTTCAACAATACCAATTAGTTTGTGGCATCTTCAGAAACTTATTGAGCTTGATTTATCACAGAACTCTTTGAGTGGTTCTCTACCTGCTGATGTTGGAAAACTGACAGCAATTACTAAGATGGATCTATCAAGAAACCAGCTATCAGGTGATATACCATTTTCTTTTGGTGAACTCCAGATGATGATCTATATGAATCTATCCAGTAATCTACTCCAAGGTTCAATACCAGATTCAGTTGGCAAGTTACTAAGTATTGAGGAGTTAGACCTTTCCTCCAATGTGCTTTCGGGTGTCATCCCAAAGTCCTTGGCCAATCTCACTTATCTTGCCAATTTGAACCTATCTTTCAATAGACTGGAGGGTCAGATACCAGAAGGAGGTGTGTTCTCAAACATCACTGTCAAGTCATTGATGGGAAACAAGGCACTATGTGGCCTTCCGAGCCAAGGAATAGAATCATGCCAGAGCAAAACTCACTCAAGGTCAATACAACGGCTACTAAAATTCATATTACCTGCAGTTGTGGCATTTTTTATTTTAGCATTTTGCTTGTGTATGTTGGTAAGAAGGAAAATGAATAAGCCAGGAAAGATGCCACTACCCTCAGATGCAGACTTGCTGAATTACCAGTTAATCTCATACCATGAACTTGTCCGTGCAACAAGAAACTTCAGTGATGATAACCTGCTAGGGAGTGGAAGCTTTGGTAAAGTCTTCAAAGGCCAGCTAGATGATGAGTCCATTGTCACAATAAAGGTCCTAAACATGCAACAGGAAGTAGCTTCCAAAAGCTTTGACACAGAGTGCCGCGTGTTACGAATGGCTCATCACCGCAACTTGGTGAGGATTGTTAGCACTTGCTCTAATCTTGACTTCAAAGCACTAGTTCTTGAGTATATGCCCAATGGAAGTTTGGATAATTGGTTGTACTCAAATGATGGGCTGCACCTCAGTTTCATCCAAAGGCTCAGTGTCATGCTGGATGTTGCGATGGCAATGGAGTATCTACACCACCATCACTTTGAGGTTGTCCTGCATTTTGATTTAAAGCCAAGCAATATTTTGCTTGACAATGATATGGTTGCACATGTTGCCGACTTCGGAATTTCCAAGTTGCTGTTTGGAGATGACAACTCTATCACATTAACGAGTATGCCAGGCACTGTAGGATACATGGCACCAGGTGATAACCCTTGTAAAGTCTGTACAATCTGTATTCTTGTTTCATCTAACTTAAGCTGACCAGTTCTCTTTTGACATGGTGCAAACAGAGTTAGGATCAACAGGAAAAGCATCACGCAGAAGTGACGTATACAGCTACGGAATTGTCCTCCTCGAAGTCTTCACAAGGAAAAAACCAACTGATCCAATGTTCGTCAATGAGTTGACCTTCAGGCAATGGATTAGTCAAGCATTCCCATATGAGCTCTCAAATGTCGCCGACTGTAGTCTACAACAAGATGGTCATACGGGTGGTACTGAGGATTCGAGTAAGCTATCTGAGGATTCAATCATCTTGAATATCTGTCTAGCATCCATAATTGAGTTGGGCTTGCTTTGCTCAAGAGATGCACCTGATGACAGAGTTCCAATGAATGAAGTAGTTATCAAGTTAAACAAGATCAAGTCAAATTACTACTCTCTGTGGAAGCAATGGAGCTCACCTGGTGAAATATCCTGAAATACCCTCTTTAGTGCATCTGGAAACTAATCAAAATGGTTCAGAAGAAAAGAACTCTGAGGAATTATAATAGGTTTTTACAATTGACAAGTCCATATAAAAGGCTTTATGTAAGTAGTATCAGTTGCAAATTGCAAATCTGAGCCACACGCTTGTAATGAATCAAAAGAGAGGAATAGACATATCTTTTCATTAAATGCAAATCACTGCAGAACTATGGATAGTGCAGGAGGAGGTTGAGGCTCTGTTGAAGGCTTGAGAAGATGGTTTGCAGCAAAAATGCTCTGATCAACTAATCAACTAGCAAAAGGTGACATATAAATGCTTTCGCATACAGGGTCAGGTTATGCCACAGAGCAAAGCTAGGTAGCTTTTGAATTTTGGCTTAGGCCCTGTTAGTTCCCACACAAAAACTTTTCACCCTGTCACATCGAATGTTTGGACACATACATGGAGTATTAAATATAGACAAAAAAACTAATTACACAGATTGCGTGTAAATTGCGAGACAAATCTTTTAAGTCTATTGCTCCATTATTTGATAATGTGGTGCTACAGTAAACATTTTCTAATGGCTGATTAATTAGGCTTAAAAAAATCGTCTCGCAGCTTACAGACATAATCTGTAATTTGTTTTGTTATTAGTCTACGTTTAATACTTCAAATGTGTGTCCGTATATCCGATGTGACACGCCAAAACTTTTCACCTCTGGATCTAAACACAGCCTTACTTTTACCTGCTTAGAGTAGTCTTCATAGTCCCATCTTTCCTTGATGAACTGATGAGTAGAGCTCAAGTCTTACTATTTGAAAAAACATGTCACAATATCACTGACAACATATTCTGGTATTACTTTGAGCAGCAACTGAAAAGAAGAATCACCAATACTATGAGACATGAATTTCTCCTTGAAACATACAGAACGTTAACCTTATCATGAAATAATCAAAACGGCATAATGCTAACTTTTTTTAAACAGAGGACAAGTACTGCTTTCATTTTTCATCAAGAAAGAAAATTCATACATTCTGTGATAAAGCTAGTAGTGCCCAGCCTATTTGCAGCTTCTTTTCTTTTCTTTCAGAAGCTGAACTAGTGTGGTACTACTCGAAAGGCAGGAAATAAATAGCTAATGCCTATGCGTTCAATCAGGTCTTGCCGTGCGAGATTAGCTCTGAGATAAAAACAGGCCACGCACAACTTAAGGTAGCAAATCATGATTATCTAAGAGGGAAATACTTGAACCATCCATCACTTTAGAATAGGGTGTTCTAGATGCAGGAAGTAATATGAACTTTAGGACAACATGTACTGATGTACAGTTTAAAGCATATTATCACTAGAATACTAGATTAGGGAAATTCTCCACAAAAAGCAAGCCCGGGAGGAGGCGAAGAACGTACCTACCAGCATTCCCGAATCCCAGTCCCCTAGTTACTGATCAAGGCAAGGAAGCATTCTCGGCGACCAAATACCTAGCCCTCACTCGGGGTAGCAGCCCCCGTCACAGGCATTGCCGATGCGCCCGCTAATCTGCGGAGCGGCGCGGATGCGGGCCGGGAGCGTCTTGCGGAGAGAAGCCGACAAAGCAGCACCTCACGACGGCGAAAAACGCCGCCCCGCGCCGTCGCCGCCGGCCATGGCCACCATCTTCACTGGCTTTTCCCCTCTCTCGCGCGGCGTGAGAAGGAAAGCATAGTACTCCTAACGGGCTATGGGCTTCATTGTTTCCTTTGCCTTTTATAAGCCAAAGCTAAAATTTAAATTTTAAAACTTAATTTTGAATTTGATTTTGATGTTTATTCAACGTATTATTTTTCAGCTTTGGCCTTTAAGTCTCTAAGAACATAAATACAAAAGTTTTACTCACATATTATTTTTTTAATTGCTAATAAGACATTACGGCTTATAATAAGTCGTAAGCAATCCATGGGGACCCATATGTCAAACAGTCGTCTGGTTCCAGGATCCAGAATTAGAATGAACAAACAGCCTATGAGATTTGTCAGCTGTGGTAAGCTTAGGATGCATTTCGGGCTTGCAGCACAGTTCGGATGATCTACTGATGATGTAGGGAGGAGATTCCACCTGAAGTATATATATACTAGATTGTTTGAGAAATTTTGTCAAACCGTCGTAAGGTTTTCAGAATTCAGAGTGAACAGCCTATGAGATTTGACGGCTGGGCGAACAAAGGATGGGTTGATGGTTGCTGCCATTCTAGTCCATTGTGAATGTGCGATCGTGCAGATGATTGGTACAGTACGTTCTGATGCTGGAAGAAGATATCCCACCTGAAATATGAGGCCACTGGAGCTAGCAATTTAAAAGGGAGCGTTACAATTTCTATGGCCATGGAAGACGTGAAGTCCCGAATCCAACTTCGAGCAAATAATAAGGTTCTGCTGCAATATGAGCCAACAAATAAACTTTCCAAACGGGGCAAATAACTAGATTTTGATTTCAGAAACAGGCACAACGGGTAAATGTTTGCAAGCTCACACCGTACTAGCGTGCGCATTGTGAAAACCTGACATTGAACATGGCAAATACATTATTGGTTTCTGAAGTCCTCGGGGCCTGGCACTTGGAACGAAAATACTCGCTGAACTCCAGGACACCATGGACTCAAGGTCCAGTCTCTGAACTGATCAACCTCCTTGTGGAGCACCAAACCTGTAGCTTCATAACCGACCCACTTGATGATGATCCACGTTCCACAACAGCTGAGCTGGGCATAGGATTGCAGCCTTATCTTCTTCCAGATATCGCAACCAGAACTGCAGTTGTCCTGGCACGCAAAATGTGTATGCAAAAACAACTGGGTGGTTGTATTCTGGGAATAATCTGGCTTCACCTGTTCAGAAGTTGCTGTGGCTTGTGAACTGTGCTGAAAGACCTATAGTTTTGTAATGTTGCTTTCAGACAGTTGACAAGATGGAGAACGGCCTGCACCTTTCAACTCTTGCTGGCTGTTGAAGTCTCGAGTATTTCATCTGCTAACTGAAATTAAAGACTAATGATACTCATGACTTCAAAGACAGGTGAACAACTGCATTCTTCAAAATCTCCAACACTGCATCATGGAAGAGAAGGGGGGAATTTAAGAAATAAGTATCGTACTCTAAGTGGTTAAATAATTGAAAGCAATTTGTAGTCACCAAACTCACCCTGTCTTCAGCCAAAAACCCATCGAAACTGCAAATTCATGATCTAGACAAACATTCACATCTCCCACCTGATACCAAAGATAATGTGTGGGTTGGTGCAGGCAAACCAATGAGAGCAAAAAGGGACTAAAATGACATCAAGCTTTTCAGATAGATTTACCGAATATATGATATAATCAACAAAATTCAAGAAGTTCCATACAAAAACATGTTGCCTGCAAACACAATATTTATGATGTTAGGAGGAGGTTTAGAAGAAGATAAGCAAACTATCCAGATTCATGGCAATCTAGAATGTCAATCTTCAAGATATCATTGAATATTACCTTGACCAAGGATAAGGACTGAATCCTTGGAGATAGGCACAATGTCCTGAACCTTTTCACTTGTAAAGATTGCTTCAATAGCTGCAAGAAAACACAAGATAAAAAACATGACAGAAAGAGAGTTACAACATAAATGATAGATCATGGCCTGATAAAAACAAACAAACAAGCTCACTACCTTAGTCAATGGGAAAAAGAGGGCTTCATACATTATGCTGGTTTTTTAAAACAATTACTTTGCAAGCCTGATGATGTTAAACATGCACATCTATGCTAACTGGGGAAAGCTTAACCAACACGCATGACTTAATAGGCAACACTACTCAGTTTTTAATGGCCTGGGATGACTTTATAATGTAACACAACAGGTCAATAATTTTTTTTTAAAAAAACAATTAATAAAATATGAAACCTACATGATAAATTAGAAATTTCTAGAAACTTGCCTATCTGAGCAGTTTCTAAAGATGTGGTTGAGCTAATAATCAAATGATTGAAAATAGCAGGTAGGACAAATAAAGGCCTAAGGTACAAAAAAAAAAGGACCTACGACACAAACCTGTGAGCTTAATGGTTGTTGATTCTCTTTCTCCATCACCACCTCCATTATCACTGTTGGGGGGTTCAACATCAAGTGCTGACATTATGTGTATGGAATGCCCACCATCCGAAATCCAAAAGATTTCTGTCTCTGCACAAGCACTCTGAACACATTTATTAATGAAGTAAACCACCATGATGCAAAAACAACAAATCCAGGATGAAAAACTCACTTGTAGAGCTACTTGGAAAGACAGCAAATAGCTGCACTTTCATGGCATTATCCAAACAGTGTGTGTGATTTCCACTATATCTCTTGCTAGTAGCTTCTGAGAGCAATTCTTTGTTTTGAAGACTGAATACATGTAACAATCCAGCTGAATCAAGGACCAAAAACTTGTCCTTGGAAAGAGGACGGATTGAAACAACTTTCACTACATTTTTCACTTCTACGGCACCTTGTGAGTTATGATGATCCTCAGAACTACATGAGGAAAAGAAAGAGAAATAGCTCCCTGAAGTCTGTTTTACTCTCAAAGTTGCCAGCTTACCTGAAAGAGTAATTTTGGACTAATATTAGTTGATTTAGTGAAATGCAGCTGAAAAGTCTGTGCAAGCAAATAGCCTATACATGCACATAGTAAAAACTAACCAACTAATCCCAAAAATAGCAGCAATTCTACTGTAAGTTTGTTCTTAGTCATGCCTGTAAATTGACACAACTGAAAGAAACCAAACATCGATTGGTAAGTATTACCTCAGAATAATGTATTGCGATATGATTGGGTTGTGTGATCGAATCTAGATCCTCTGATGAAGGCAGTTTAACAAATGGTTAATACTGTTGGAAAACTGCAAGTTGAGTACACTATCATAGTCTAGATTTACGAGATTCTTCCTTCTATTCTAGCTAGGTGGCTCCTAGTATGAGTAGTTGTGATGGGCTGCGAGTTCCCGGGGTGACGAGCCTGGGACCTGTGGGAGCTAAGTCGAAGATCTCGGTGTCGTCGTGAGTGGTTGATAAACAGCGATTTTAGTTGTTAGAAAACATGATCACAGGTTTTTACACAGTTGGGTTTCCCTTCTTTTCATGTTCTCTTTCTTCGCTTTGTTGTAAAATTAGCCATAGACAAAATATATATAATGCACTCTTTGTTAAATTTATAGTTTTACAGTCCCTAGTAATTGGCCATGCAACTTATGTCTGCACCTACAAGTAGCTAAAAGCACAAAAGTCAGAAAGAAAATTCTAACATTATTCCTCATTAACTCCATCAAAAGTTACTGATCAATCGATAGAATTGTACAGATCATGATTATAAGGAATAAGGTAGCAGTTTGAACTACAAGGTTGCAAACAAAATCCAAGTGGACTTTAACAACCAGATATGTTAGAGTTAAAAAAAATATCAGCATGTTGCAGAGACAATTATTTAGCTCCATTCATCCTTTACAAATATTAGCCTTAAATACAAAGTAGTACACCAAACAATTGTTATCAGTTTCTTAAAAAAAAACATTTTGCTCATGAAACCACCAATGGGGCTGAGAAAGTATTATATAATTGTTAGAAAAACTTGAGAGTTATAATACAGAAAATATCAAATTTCACAAATCCTGTATCAAACAATGTGTTTTTGTGTTAATACTTAATAGTACTATCAAGCTCCATGTAGTTATGTGAAATTTGTGAACCCGTAGTTTTCTGCTACAAAGGGCATGTACATGGGATTTACCAAAGAAAAAATATACTATATTGAAAAATAGTTCCCAACTTTGCTCCTTGTGTTGGGGCAAATATTATTTTATCAAATCATCAGTTTTGCACAAATCAACTGAAGGTATATCCTGTTCTATCGGTACCTCCGCCACACTACACTTGCTCTATTGCGACCCTAAGTGAACACTCAAATGCTTTGCCTAGACACAGACATAACAAAAACAACAACACTATAAGAAGATTAGAGCTACCTTATATCCTGCACTTTTTCTAAGTGCAATCAAATACTACCTAACCTAGGTGTCATTCACAAAGATAGTGATCAACCTTTTTCACATTATAGCACTAAGATAATCAAATACTAGAATCAAAGCTTCAAGGAAAATTAAGGATACTCACGAGTGGAAACAGCTTCTCGTTTGCCACCTCCCTCGCTACCGCCATGCCCAATTGGCACAATAAAACCATTCCGAATTCCATTCTTCTTGTGCAGGCTCTTCCTTACTGCTGCCCCCGCACCCTCCTTCCTCACCTGCCTCTCTTTCCCACTCTTCATCAAGCCTTGTAGCGGGAACACGCGCAAACCACCAGCCTCACCGAGGAGCAGCCTCCCCATGGCAACCTCCATGGCGTACACCGGCCGCGACGGCTCGAGCTCGACGACCGCGCACTTGTGCAGCTCCACCGTGCGCCCGTCCGCAGCCATCCCTGGGGCTAGCACCCAGATCTGCCCGGCGGAGAGGGACAGCAGAGCCACGGCGTTGACCCCGCCGGCGAGGCGGACGCCGAGGCCGAACGGGAGGCCGTGCAGGGGCAGCCCCGAGGCGGAGGCCTGGCGCTTGAAGGAGAGCGGGGCGGGCGAGAAGCGGCCGGAGGCGAGGGAGTAGGCGCGGAGGTGGGCCGCGGGGGAGGAAGGGGACGGGTGCGCGGAGAGGAAGAGGAGGTGGGAGGAGGGCAGCAGGAGCACGAAGCAGGCGGCAGCGGCGAGCGGGGAGGGGACGGCGGTGGCGGGGAGCGAGGCGGCGGGCGGCAGGGAGGGGAGGAGGCGCGCGGAGGAGTCCGGGAAGAGGAGCGCGAGCGCGCGGGTGGGGGAAGGGCGCGGCGCGAGGAGGAGCGAGGCGGGGGGCGAGGTCGCGGGCGGGAGAGGGAGGCGGTGGGCGGTGAGAGGAAGGCGAGGAGGAGACGGCGGCGGCGGCGGCGGAGGAGGAGGCGGAGGCGGCATGACCACCGCCGGTGTTTGAGGGGGAGTGGGTGGTGGCGCGGCGACCGGTCGGGGCGAAACGGGTCGAGACTTTTTTGTGTATTGTTTAGATCGGGCGATTAGGGAACGTGCCGGCCGCCCGGGTAATTGGTTCAACTTCTACAGCCTACGGAGTAGTAGAGGATTTACGAGTAGATGTTGAAGTAGATGACCGATTAGGATTTAGGAACATAACACTGTACAAAAATCTGTGGATGTTAAGTATTGTAATTTGCAAAAGATGTAGAATCAGAAAAGGTGTTCTATCAAAAGAAGTAAATCACATTCACATGGCATGAGCTTGGTAAGTGGGTGTTAAGTAGGTGTATTTATTGTAATAACTTAAAACCAAGCATATCGGTGCATCGAAATGTCGATGGGTGTATTTTTGGTCACATCGGCAGGGAACATCATTTTCTGTTATTTACCACAAAATCTCCATTTTTACCTTTTTTTTTTAGAATTACGCAATATAACCTAGAGACTCACAACGCACGTACATTCACTCCTAAACGCACGCAACCTAAACGCACGCACGTAAGCGCTACCCCTATGAGTATCTTCGAAGACTTGGCCGACAAATCCTGGAGATTGACCTACCACTGAAAGCACGATGCCGTTAAATCCTAGGAAATTTGCTCCCATGAGGAGTTAAACCCAAGACCTAAGGTGCTACCCATGACCATATGAATTTCATAGGATTCGAAAAGCTTCAATCCTTTGAATTAAAGGGCCAAATAAAAAAATCATATAGAAAGAATCCTAGAAAATTTTTACATAAATCTTTTGATTTAAAGGGCCCTTATTTCTGGTTCAATTGTTAACTCATAGTTAGTATCACTGTCGATGGAACTATGGGAGGCATGTAATCTCTTGATCTATGCATTAAATAACTCGTATTAATACTGTCAGTTAAACAACAAAGGCCGGTGGTGTCCTTTGCTCAAATTGTAGCTCGACCCCAAACGGCTGACAGTGGCGTCGAGAAGCACACGTTAATAAACATCTTTGAGCTAGCCTGTCAAATCTGAAATCAATATGATTCGCCTAATTTCGGAGTTCAATCACGCAAAAGCTGGAATACGGTTCACATGCTTCGATTTAGATAATTGGACAAACTATCGTCTCGGATTATCTACTTTATTATACCATTATCTACTTTACTATACGCACAGGGGCGCTGAAGGGATAGCGTGGTGGTCCAACAACGGTCGTTGGGCAGGACAGTTGTGTAGGGATTTGATTGGGAATCACTGGCGAAAGCCTTGCTAGGGCATGGGCCGGTATGACAACGACGGCACCATTAGGCGTCGTTTCCCTCCTTGGAGGTGTCGTTTTGGCGTTGACTTCTCTTAGCACCAAGAACCTTCCGCGTGCAACGGTAGCCATTGGTGGGCTCCTGCAATGCCTTTGAAGCTCTACAAGCCTAGTGTGTTTGACGAGGCCTTTGCCGCCTTGGTTTCATTTCTTGCTTTGTGGCAGGTATTCATCATCCTTGTTTGGTTACTACTGGGTAGAGTCGGAGCTGCTTTGCTGTAGGGGTGCGACGAAACTTGGCAACGATGACACACACCGCGATCTCCTTATAGGGTTGTTGATGCTAACTGTGTGTAGGAATTTGGGCTGATGTCCTTCATGGGTGTCGTTTTTGTTTGTTTATTTGGCGTTGGGGTAGCATTGCAGTGAAGTCGAAACTGATGTGTCGCTTGGGTGGTAAGCTTGGCAATGATAACATGTGTGGGTTGCCGTGTCGCCTCTATGGCAAGCTTGACCGATGTCTTATGTTGGGCTCCGTCATGGTAGTGTAAGTTAGGTTAGCTATTGATGTGGTGTTGTAGTTGTAGTTTTCGCTCAGTTTTTCCTAATTAACTAGACACTGTAAGGTTTGGTCCTGTTTTCTCCTTAAAATGGAACACCTTCTTCTTAATATAAAACGTCGGCAACGGCCTGACCGTTCGAAAAGGAATAAATCAAATACTTTTGAAAATAAATTTAACCAATAGCTTAAAAATGAATAAATGTATTTTTTGAAGTAGGAGTAAACAATTATATGAATAAGTTGAATAAGCTCTTTAGTAATGGATTAACCTGAGAGTTGCGAATTCATGATAAATAGAAGGAAGGAAACAAATATACTATGTGGATAAAATGAAATAGAAGAATATGACTACTATCTCACACACTCGGAGACTATCTATAAATCCTTGGCATATTTCAAAAGTACCAAAATGCCATTATCTCACTACTTCTCCTTTTTTCCCATATAAATGGTTGAACAAGATATTTAACCATACAAAAATTATAAAATTAAATGAAATAAATTTATGATTCTTAATTTTTGAAAAAAAATACATGAAAAAAATTCAAACTGATAAAAGTCATATATAACAACAAAATTAAAGTCAAAAGAAGTAAAATTACACAATCCATACGGAGTACAACTTTTTTTTTTGTTACTTTACGTAGTACTACAGATTTAGGCTTAGGAAAGTGTGATTTTACGATGTGAATTACACTTTGGCAATCTTTTATTACCGAAATTTAACTTTCGGCAATCCATTTATTCAATTATTTCATTTTAGACTAGGTATTTTTGAATTTGTTGTAATTTTGACCACCCCGAGGCAATGTTTGTCTAATGGAAATGTTAAATAATTTTCCACCCACCAAAAAACATCTTTAAATCCTAACCATTCATTCCCCCTCTTTCATTTAATCATAACCCTTCATTTATTTCCCAATCCCAATCCCATCCCCCATTTTCCATTATCCAAACAGACCCTAACACTTTTTCCTAGGTACTTCCAACTTCTCCCTCTGCAAAAATGTGACATGCGTGTAAACTGGGAAGATTGTCAACATGAGTAAGGTTGTGTTTAGATGTAGGAGTGAAATTTTTTGTCGTGTCACATCAGATATACAGACACATATTTGAAGTATTAAACGTGGTCTAATAACAAAATAAAATTACAGAATCCGCCTGTAAACTGCGAGATGAATTTATTAAGCCTAATTAATCCATCATTAGCAAATGTTTACTGTAGCATCACATTGTCAAATCACATTGTCAAATCTGTGTAATTAGTTTTTCTTTTTGTCTATATTTAATACTTCATGCATGTGTCTAAATATTTGATGTAACAGTGTGAAAAAACTTACCAAGGGATATAAACAGGTCCTAAGTCAGTGACGATGTCCTCGCGGTTATCGTTGGACTCATGAATAGAGCAGTAAAAAAAAGACAAAAGAAAAACGTAGTACGAAGAGCAAATGTTAATAAAAAGATGATTTAAAGTGAAACTTAGATTAGATAATAAAAGATGGTCCAAAGTGCAAAATTACAATTCACTTAGAAAAATTTAAATTTTACAAATTTAGTTCGCTTAAAATCTAGCAATACCCTATTTATTTCGAACGGATTTATCTGATGTGTTAGATTTTTTTTTGTTTGATTTAATTTGTTTTTCTATTGTATCATTGTAGGGAAAGACATTGCCCAACTGCATGTCTGCATATATGGCTGTGTTCGCTAGAGCAAGTTTCATGCACGAAAAACGGAACAGTCTATTAGCGCGTAATTAATTAAGTATTAGCTAATTTTTTTTAAAAAAAAAGATCCATATGATTTTTTTAAGCAACTTTCATATAGAAATTTTTTGCAAAAAAAAAGCACCATTTAACATTTTGAAAAATATTTAGCAGTTTAAAAAACGTGCGCGTGCAAAACGAGATCGATGAGTTAGGAAACGAGCCCCGAGCTTACTGGAAATTTGGAGTAGTAAGCACTACGCAGTTACGAAAGTAACGCAGCACCGAAGAAAATCAACGGCGCTAATATTGTCTATTACCTTTGATATGCTAGTCAATCAAAACATCTATAAATTATTATCTTCTGAGATGAAAGGTTTAACATCGGCTGACAGCGGACTCAAATAGTTAATGTACAATACTCAGACATTGTTAGCATTAGAACAGAAGAAATGGTTAGCCAATCAGTCGGATGCCGTCTCCGTGCAGCTCGGAAAGGAATGCCGCATTGCCGCAGCTTGCAACCATGTCATTTCCTTGGCGGAAGACATGATGATGATAAGTCATATCATCGTCCTAAACAATATTCCTTCTATTCTTTGCTTGTCACAGAAGCCTCAGTCCGCAATTGCAGGACGAAAGAGTACAACTACTGTACAACTTGCACGGGCTGCAAAATCATAGGAGCCCCTCGAGCACAAGCGCAATGAACCTTTAAGAAACCACCTCGGTATCCCTTGCTGACAACCTGTAACTTTGTTTGAAACAAGTCCAGCAAACGCAGACCCTTTTGAGTGACACCGCTGTCCTTGTCTGGGCTCTGTTTTACTCACATATCATCGTTGTTCACAAGGCAGTGTGTGTACTTGTGATCAGGAAAGCCTTCTCGCATCTGATTGGAGTTTATACATCACATTTCACATAAGAGTTGCACCAGGAAGAGAGGAGGTTGCATCTGCCGTTTGCATTGCAGCAGGCACAAATGGAATTGGTGCCTGGTGCGGTTCATTGATGAAGCCCAGAACTTTCAAAATCTGTCTGCATTTGCAGAAATCAATGACAAAAGGCATGTTATGAATATGAAAAGGTAAGACAAGTGATACTATGGAATCTTTTTGCAGAATATCGTGTATTAACGCGCCACTGATCAAAGACTCAATAGGACCCAATGAAACAGTTTTGACCAAATAATTGCAGTTTTGTAAAATACCCAGCTAAAGTTGTAACAAAGTGATAGTTTTGACCAAATAATTGTAGTTTTGTGAAATTTACTCATATATAAAACAAGGCAATAAACAGTTGAGAAGTGGGTGCTCTGCTAGTATTTGTGTCAACTAGTCGTTTTTGGTGAATCAGTCTGTTGGTGGTAACTATATGCTTAAGTATTTACTGCCCATAAAATCAAAAATGTAAAACGAAAAAGGAGCAAGCTGTCAAGACTAATAATAATATTGGGAAAGTACCTGGGCAAGATGCTGTGCATGTTCCGCTGATTAACAAAGGAACAAAGAGGAGTTCGTAGATTGGGGTACTTATTCAAAGCTATTTCAAGCTGGGGTGGAGGTAACTAAAAGTAG